GGCGGAGCTCGGACGCGGGATCGGGGAGGGCGCGGGAGTGCGTGAATGTGTGGAGGGGGAGCGTGTGTGCGAGTGTGCGCCCCGGGCTGCGGGCGGGCGCGCCCGGGTTGGGGGCGGGGTGGGGGCGGACGGGGCGTGCGTGCGGGAAAGGAGAGTGGGAGGGGAGGGAGGGAGGGAATCACCGAGCCCCGCCGCTCGGGCCGGCGCGCTGCCTCGCCATGTCCCAGCCCGCTCCGGCGCCGACGTCTTCTGTTTGGGTGAGCGGGAGCTGTCCAGAAGGGCTCTGCCGCTGGCCGGGGCAGCCAACCTACCCTCCCGGACCCGGGGCGGGGCAGCGCCCGATGAGCGTCGCAAACAGCCACTCCGAGGACGCGGCTGGCCCGGGGGGCGGGCCTCCTATACTGAACTGCCAATGGCTTAGGGGGGCGGGGCTGCGCGTTTCATGTTTGGCTGACGGCTCTGTGTCTTTTTTTTTTTTTCCTCCTCTGGCACTGGAATCAAACGTCAAGGAGAAGGAGGGAGGGAGGGGGAAGAAGGGGTAGTGGGGTGAGACAGGCGAGAGTGCGACTGAGGGACAGAAATTATGTTAAAGATGCCGCGCTGTGTCCCTTCTGAGCAGCTGCGTTCTGAGGGAAAGGGCATTGCTCCAGTTCATTTCGCCTCACCCCAAAGCTTTTCTCGAGGCTAGGAAGCCGGGAGGAAAAGACTCCGCTTCGAGCTGGTGTAAAAACAAACACACGTCTCCCCGTAAGCCACTTCCCTAGCGTCCCTAGCTGGGAGCCGGTGCTAAGCCTTTTAAAATGCAGGCGCTAATGTATTCTAATACAGGGTAAATTCCAGAGGCTGGGGCGTGCATAATCTACTGGGCGAGAGGAACTCCAGCGCCCTCGCCGCTTGCGAGCTGCGGCCGGCGGACGCAAGCCCACAGGCGGCGCGGGCCGCGGTAATGCTTGCAAAGTTAACACAATAACATCATTTAATTACCCGGCAAGCCCATAAATCTCCCAGTTATGAGGCTTCAGAAGGACCCTGCTAGATTGCAAAACAAAACTAGAACTCCTGGAGCTGAGGTTTCAAGGTGACCAAATGCTTGTCACATTAGAGATTTGGGAAGAAATGGCGGTGGCGGTATTGGGGGCGGGGGGGGGGCGGGTTTGGAGGAGGTGAGATAGGATTGTTGCCAATGCTTACAGGGAGCAAACTTCTGGGGCAAGGAGTATGTAAACCGTCTGGGACGACACCCGCGTATCTTTACACACACACGCTCGCGCGCGCGCGCGCGCGCGCGCAAGCGCTTCTCTCGAATCCGGGGAGTGGAAAGCCCCGGGTTTCCGCTCTGAGTAGATGCCATGAAGCCTTGTCCAATATCTGTATATGCTAACCTTGTTTCTGAAAAGGCCAAAGCCCTGGTGAGTTCTAGAACGCTCGCAAGCCGCAGCTTGAAAAAGTACACCTTCTTTTACCTAGAATTTCCGTTGTTAGTAAGCCCGTGTCAGGGACTGGGAGTGGAGCAGAGTAGAGAGAAGTGGAGATTTCTACGGCCAGGTTGGGGGTGGAGAGGTGGTTCAAGAAGATAGTTACCCAACACTGAAAGCCTTCAAAGTAACAGATTCTTCCAAAGCAGGTTGCGCTCTGTTTGCCTCCGAAGATTCAGGCGAGCTGAGGTTGCGCAGATGTTGCCTTTGTTTAAAGAGACAGTAATTAAGGACAGGGTGGACATAAGTTTGAGAAGCGTGACCTATTTTCTTTTGATCAGCTGTCAGAAGAAGAGCAGGGGGTCTCCTTAAGACAGCCCCTCCAACCACTTCCAGCTGTTAGAGAAAAACTTGATAAGAAAACAAGGACACAGCCTGTAATACTGTATGTGCCTTCATGGTTCTGGAGAAAGGTTTAGAAAATAGTTTTTAGTCTCAGCGACCTTTCATGGCTGCCCAGCTCTCTTCTAGAGCGCCCCCCCCCCAAAAAAAACCCTCCCACACCATCCTGTCACATGAAGTGTGTGTACAGTGAGGTTAGTCATAGGTCAACTATGGAGCTCTGAACAATTCCTTGCTGATTATTCTTTCAGATAGCTGCTTCTCTGTACTATCAAAGCCCGGGTAAGAAACTGAACGATCCCCTGCATTGCTAGACATACGTTTCTGGATGCTCACATTTTAATGTTACAACACTAGACAGGCAATGTAATTCGGTTTCCTGTTTCTCTGCTTTTTCTCTCTCCCTCACCCTCTCCTACTATCTCTCTTTCCACTCCCCACCTTATGTATGGCCGCTAGGCACTGGGGATAATTTGAAATAGTTAATGTTTGTAATGCACACCGAATTGAACAAAAGTTACCAAGAGTGCAACCTCCTGTTGGTGTAGGAGTACTCAGAGGCTGAAATATGGCAGCAGAGGAGCAGAGCTAGGGAGGGAGTTTGTCTGGTGTACCCCAGTGCTGAACAGCAGCCTCCTCTGCCCTGGCTTCAGGCTTGAGGAGTGGCCAGTGACCCCAGGCTGGGACATGCATAGGCATTGCCTCTATACAGAAACCTAAATATATACATTGCCATTTAAATAATTCTTCAAAATGATAAACTTATTTACCAGGCTACCCATAAAAATCGGCTTCTGGGAATTGCATTTCGGTGTGCCTGGGAGCAGTCACGTGCTGGGGAGTTGAAAGGTGAGTTGCATATTCTCGCTGCCTAGCGCCCTCTCCCTCCCACCTCTCTCCCACCATCCCTCCCCTTTCCCTCGATCAATATTGGCGATCTCAGGGAAATCATGAAATAGTATTGGCTTCTTTGTGTATAATTTTATTGGGCTAGATTAAAGCAGATTTTTCACACTGTTTTTCTGATGGTGGTTTGAGGTTTTATATTTCAACCCAAAACCCACTTAAAAGGAAAATTAACATGCTTGTTTAGTCAGCATCCTAATTTTTACTGAATTAGGTTTGCACGCGCTTTCCCTTTCTTCCTAAAAAGGAAAAAAATATTTATTTTCTACTTGAAGCTCATTTTAAGAATATCAGTACTAATGCGATTTTCAAGCATGTTTTGAAATCTTTTTCATGTTTATTTCTCTCTAGTTCTTTAAGAAAATAAAAAGGAAGAGTTGCTTTTTAACTGCCCGTTGTTTAGCACACATATTCTAACCTTCACAACCTCTGCAACTCAGAATTTTTTTCTTTTAATTTGAAGTTTCACTCCTGTTCTCCCCTCCCCTCAGCATTTGATTCATAAATAGACTGTTTAGAAACGTGATAGCAGGAGTGCTAGTTCATGACTATTAGAATCTGGACAAACAGTTACACCAGCCATTATATCAGGAGCAGGATATCCATTTTTTAGCATGCCACATCCACAGGTCCGATTTTCTTCAAGATCAGACAATTAAATGCGTCAAAAGAAGCCTGTAAGTAAAATGCAGCTTTGACAGAGCAATGCGAGCTATTGTACTGTAAAGGGAAAAAAAAATCTGAACTTGAGTTAGGAATGGCAGGAAAAGATTGGAAAATTTTTAGTGGCAGAGCTTTTCAGATGTGTTTTCACATTAAATTGTTTTTTTAGGCTCTGACAGGGAGATATGGACATTCAGTTAAAACAGAGACCCTATAAATTATTCACACACAAAAAATAAACAGACCACAAGTAAACCCAGTCTGTTGGGATAAGGGGCCCAACAGCCTTGTTTTTTACCAAACAACAATAACCACAGCCCAAATTCCAGGAAGAGGAGGGCTGCTTATTCCCACCCAAATGTTTAAAACCTGAAGAACGTTTTGTGTTGGGCAGAACACATTTGTGCTACAACTAGGTTTATCAGAGCAATACAAAAAGACATAATGGTGGGTTGATTTGGACTATTTTATTTTTGTCCTTCCCCAAACCATCTGGCGTGTGAGTGTAGGGGTATTGATCAGGATCTGTGAGCTGCAGACCCCATGCCAATCTATAGCGTTTCTGGCAATCAGCGTCGCCCATGAATTGCAGCTGTCTGTGCAGCTCCCGAACAGAAATCTTCAAAAAAGTGCCCCCCTTATCAAACACATCATCCGTTCAGGGGTAAGTCAATATCATTTCTTTGTCATTCCACGAGCGAGGATTATGCAGGAGAAAGTTTTTGTTGTCTGTTGTAGCTGCTGCTGTGGCTGCTTTTTTTTTTTTTTTCAAGGAAGGAGAGCAATTTTCTAGCCATTGAATGGTAATGGTTTTCCAGAAAGGCCTCAAGCGTTTGTATGAATTGGACAACAAATGCTGTTTTAATATTGTGGGGGAATTTGAAGAGGAGGGGGAAATTCTTATGTTGCTGCACACAAATAAGTAATAATAGAGGGTTCCTTTTAACGGTGCAGAATTTTCTCCCCTTTTCTCTGAGCTCCTGGTGATGAAGACACCGCAAGTCGCTGTGATTACACTTGTAGATGAACGGTGGGTGCTTGTGGCGGAAAAGGAGCCTTCGAAATTGTGGCTCTGTTTGATATCTCCATTAGCTTCAATTCTCTGCCTGAAAG